CTGAGAGACACTCCTTGCCCTGACTTCTCATACAACTTCCAGGAAGACAACAATTTCACGTCTGTACAGCACAGAAAACCCGTAACATCCTGCTCTTTTTCTTCATTGTGGTATAATGTCCATAACATAAAATGTACATGTCAACCATTGTTAAGAGTACAATTCAGTAGCGTTAAGAATATCCTCCTTACTGTACAGCTGTCACCACCATCCATGCATAGAACTCTTTTCATCTTGCAAAACTGAAATCTGTAGCCATTAAATAATTAACTCTCTATCCCCCCTCCTCCATCTCCTGGCAACCACCATTCCACTTTCTGTCTGGATAAATTTGACTATTCTAGGTATCTCATGCAAGTGGGATACAATATTTGTCCTTTTTTGACTCATTTCAATTAGCGTAATGTCCTTTTTTGACTCATTTCAATTAGCGTAATGTCCTCCAAGTTCATCCATGTACAATATTTGCCCTTTTTTGACTCATTTCAATTAGCGTAATATCCTCCAAGTTCATCCATGTACAATATTTGTCCTTTTTTGACTCATTTCAATTAGCGTAATGTCCTCCAAGTTCATCCATGTTGCAGCATGTATCAGCCTTTTTTAAGGCTGAATAATATTCCATTGTGCATATACACAATTTGTTTATCCATTTGCCCATTGATGGACACTTGAGTTTTTTCTTCCTTTGGGCTATTGTGAATAATCCCATTAGGAACATGGATGTACAAGTATCTCTTTGAGTCTCTGCTTTCAATTCTTTTGGGTATATCCCCAGAAGTGGAATATGACATTCTCTCTTTATTTCTTACACACAAACTCTATGCCTTGTTAGTTTATATCAGACACCAAAGTCTAATGTTTGTAAAATATAAATGGTATCCATAAATTGCCTCCCAACATCCTTTTTTACTGTTTACTACCTTTTCCATATTCTATCACTTTATAAAATTGCACAAACATTAGTAAGCTGTGTAACAAGCCAGGATACAAGGAGCTCAAAAGCCAGCTACAGATTCAGTGGATTGATGCCAGCAGTTAAGAATGTCACCACCAACAGTATCATCCAGTAAAAGGCTTCCACCTGAAGGAGGAGAACCTTGATTGGAAATCAACGGCCAGACTCACATCGAATTCTGTGTCTCTGACAGGAAAGGGAGGAGCCCTGGGCATTATTTACAGTTATGTTTAGAGCTGTCATTTCTTAAGCAATAAGTCAACTTACCATTCTTTTTTCTTTTTTTTGGCCTCACCACACAGCATGTGGGATCTCAGTTCCCCAACCAGGGATCGAACCCATGCCCCCTGCATTGGAAGTGCAGAGTCTTAACCACTGGACCACCAGGGAAGTCCCTCAACTTACCTTTCTTGATCTAAAACATTTTAATCTTAAAGGTTATCATCTCTGTCTAATTGCCTGTTAAAGTTTACCTATTATTTACCCACGGAAAAGTAAGTTCTCAGAGTTTTGCCAAGTAAACTTGAAGAGGCCACAAAACTTTAAGAACAATAAAGGTCCATTAGTCACCAGAAAGTGTGCTTCTTTTATGACTCTGTTTCGCTTCCATTTTATTTTTTTACTTTTATTTTTTTGCAGTACGCGGGCCTCTCACTGTTGTGGCCTCTCCCGCTGCGGAGCACAGGCTCCGGACGCGCAGGCTCAGCGGCCATGGCTCACGGGCCCAGCCGCTCCGCGGCATGTGGGATCTTCCCGGACTGGGGCATGGACCTGTGTCCCCTGCATCGGCAGGCGGACTCTCAACCACTGCGCCATCAGGGAAGCCCCCATTTTATTTTTATTTCAAAAATTACCTAATTTTCCACCAAATCAAATCATTGGCGCAGCAAAAAGTTTTACAATTCTAGTCACTGGCATTTCCACATGTGCTCACTGGTATTCATAGTCACTTCATGAATCAAAGAAAACTAATTAATGTTCATAATAACTTTACAGATTTTATATGAAGCCAGAAGCACCCAAGCCTGGCATCCAGTGTACAGAGGTCATGTGGATGTGGAGGTGGATGGGTGGGGAGGGAGATGACAGAGGCACCAGCACAGCCCCGTCCTCAGGGCCACAGCACGGGTGGGGACACTTGAACACAAAAAGCGTGAGAAGCCATTACTGAAAAGCTCTAGACAACGCACTGAGGTATTTATTTAACAATGTAGACCGTAAGTATTAGAGGAACTAAGAGAATGGGGAAAAAATTACTGTGGATTTGAACAACTTCAGAAGACGGGATTTGAAGTGGCCTCAAAGGGTGAGAAGGTTCTAGAAGGATGGGAAAGAAGAGATGATATTGCCGGGAAGGAGAACCATAAAGCCAGGGCAGAGACAGAACAGAACGACCCCAAAGCGCCAGGGTCTGATTCTGAAAAAAAAAGCAAGCGTAGTCTATATGAGCCACGGTATTTCTACCCCAATCTTGGCAGATAAAACTTCACTCCATAAATATTCTGACAGCTGAGAACTGTCCTTTTGCCTTTTTAAAATTCACATTGACTCTGTCTCTCGGGTTTTTTTGTTTTAAACACTCTTCTCCCACCTTAGACAAGTACACCCAACGACAAACCTTATCTCCGTAAGGCTCATTTTCAGAGGACTCAGACGTTCTTAGGGGCTGACCAATACCAACACAGGTCTACTTGTGACCTGTACAAATGTATCATCACTATGCACACCTATAGTTTAGTAAATTGTCATTTTGAATATAGTTGACAGGACTTCACACCAAATTCTATTCTCCTAACAGGTAACTAATATTGTTTAACTAGTAAGTATAGGATTGCAAATCAACCCCACTATGCATTTTGCTCACTATCTGACCCATTTCCTAACCAACTTGCTACCATTTTTCCATACGAAGTAAAATACTTTCCCCTGATCTAATCTGTTCCCTCTGCCTCTAATAATACAATAATAATTCTGCTCCCATTCTGCCTAAACATGCAGGGACAGACAGAAGGAATCTGTGACATCACTAAGACATTTGGCTCATTCCACTAACTAGACAGTTATTAAAATCATCAAGACAATTTAGCAAGAAAGCATATAACCTTACTGGATTAGAATACAGGAGTCTCCTAGAAAAAAATAACTATCCAAACTTCACTGTGCCCCATCACAGTTACTGTGATGGGGATGAAAGCTGAAATTCAAGCTCCTTAATCTTTGAAAAAACTTCCCCCAAGCAGAACTTAACACTGTTCATTCAATCTTGGCCGGCAGAATGTCAGTGAGTTCTCTGCCGTTCCTAGAATATTTGTGTCTGGTATCCCCAGAGAAGTTGTTATAGGCAAAAAGGACAAAGGAGTTTTTCTCAAAGTTTCAATCATCTGTTTCTACAAATGCTTAAACAACCAGGTTCCTTGTCTGTGAGATAAAAGATGAAATTAAATTAAGTGTATATAATTTATGTGGTTTGTTTGCTTCTTAAGCAGTTTTATCTCAGGTTTGCAAATACAATTTTGCATTCCAGGCTGCAAAACTCCAAATAACTTTGTTACTCTAACTGATACCAAGAAGAATACATACTTCACGCTCAGAGAAACTTGAGGTTCGACCTTTAGCTTCCTCAGAGCACACTACAGGAAAAATACGTCAGCATAGAGTATAATTTGTAATCATTTGATTTAACTTCTCATGCTAACAAATGACGCTAACAAAAGGCATCATTCTGAGGTTTCCATTTATTCATCCCTTAGCTAGGTAATCTACTCTTGTAATGAAGTTTTCAAGGCATCATATTTGGGGGCGTGATCTGAAACCATTTATGAGCAGAACGTACTTTGGCAGCAGCATCCCACTAATAGTCAATTTCATTTCCGTGGCATTCCTTATTTTTCAGGAAAGAACTAAAGAATAATCATTTTACCCACAGTTAGAAAAAGTGAACATTTGTGAAAATTCTCACCTTTGTTGTAAACTGGAAGCTTTTAAATTTGGTGGGAAAAAAAAAGTTCAAGGAATATAATTTAACAATTGTTATTAACATGGAAATTTCTAAAGACAATTCGGTACATAAAGAACTGTATATATAACAGGTTATGTTCTGGGGAGTGGGATTAAAAAGAAGGTGGTAGGGGAGGCTTTTAATGTCAAGTGTTTCAATAGTGCCTGTTTGTTTGTTACACGTATGTACTAGTTTTTAAAATTAAACAACAAAGAATCAAGGAAGCTTTTAAAAAAAATAATAAGGCAGTTTAATTCACAAAAGACAGGTCTTGGATGGTAACAGCATCAGGTAGAGAAGAAGGAAGTGCCAAGATTAAGTCCCAGGAGATCAAGGGCAATAACTGGAATCTCCAGTAGACAAAGATGACTCCAGGTTGCCAGGCATCTAACGGTACTGGGGTTCTATCACTCCTCAGTGGCTCAAAGCTCTTGTGGGTCACTCAGCCACAGGCCATAGTCTGAAAGGCTTCAAGCAACAATCTAGAGCAGCTCACAGCAGAAGCTGTGCTGAGTCCCCTGCTGGCAGCTACTGAGCTCCCAGAAACAGCACCTGTCACTGCATCAGTGAGGTAAATGTTAGGACATTCCTCCTAACTGTCAGAACCCCCAAACTCTTCTCTATGAGCCCACACACAGTTCAGGGCCTCTCTCAAGGCAGTCTCCCAAAGTGACATTCTAAAAGGATGCATGGCAAAATCCTCCACTGCTTCCGAGCAAATCCCATCCTTAAGACTCTAAGGCACTTGGCAAAACCCCTAAACACCTCTTCAAACAAATTTCCTAAGACATAGGAGACACTTGTGTCTATAGAATTAGCCCAGAGTATAGCACTTCTATTCAAGATAAAAGATACACACTTGAAAAAATATTTGTGTCATATACGTATGCATTTATGCATATGTGTACGCATGTATTTGCATATATGCATATACATACATATGTAACATATATTCAGATATGCGTGTGTACACACATATATACACATATATATGCAAAAATAATTCCACACGGCTCTATTTACACACACTTAGAAGTTACCTACCTGAAAGTCATCATAAGGGAAGAGCAGCATCTCCCTTAAACAGTCGTTCAGGATCTGTGTCTTCTTCTGGACGATGACATTTTCATAGTCGAGTGGCTCAATCAGCTTTGGTTTGGCCTAGAAGGTGAAAAGATAAGCAATTGGAACACTCTTATAAGATAAAAGTAACTTCTTAAGACTAAAGAACTTCATACATCCTACTCTACATGTTTTTGTACTTTCCAACTTTTCTACAATGAGAGTGTATCAGTTTTGCTATCAGGAAGAATCCGAAACAAGAGAAACAAGTTGTCTTCAAAGGAAAGAAAACACTTCATGGTCCTCATGCTTGTTTGGTTATTTAAACACAAAGGAGGCTATGGAGTCTGGTGGAACTTCCAGTCACGTCTTGGGTCACCCCTGGCTATGTCAGTCCCCTTCTAAGCCTCAAGCTTTGCCAGAACTGCCCTGCGTGGAGGTCCAGCCATGGTCTGGCAATGAAGGCCACCAGCTCCAGCCGTGACCATCTCTTCTTGGCCCTAGGCTTAAAGCAATCCCCAGAGCTCACTATTTTATATAAAACTCTATGGAACTCATCTCTGAGTCTCAAAATATCCCTGTCTAACCTGAACTATCTATACACTTACATATACAACACCTAAACACAGAGAAATGTGAGCTGGACCAAAATCGGGCAAGCAAGGGAAAAAAGTACTTAAACCAGGGCTTGTGGGTGACCCCCAGGGGGTAGGGATGATCATCCCTGGAATGCACTAATCCAAAGAAAGAGGCAACGAGCAACTGGGAAAGAAAAGAGAGAATATGCCTTTTCTAGCTATTTCCAAACTTATTCTCAGCAAAAATCTCAGCTAGTTTTAGTCATTGCCACAGTGTTCAGTGATCACTTCCCACATGCAAGGCACTAACTGGGCTAAGTCAAGGATAAAGATATATATTCAACTAACTATAGCACAGTATGCCAAGTGCTTAAAAAGGCACACGTGCACATGTGCACACACACACACACACTTATCAGAAGTAAATTCATTATATCAATAAATTCATTACTGCAAGATTATTTTTGAAACTATTAATAAAAAACATCTGATAACGCAATTTCAACAAATGCTCTATATATTAAAATGACAATTCATATACAGATAATAAATATATTAAAGACATCGGGTATGTGCCATCTAAATTAGGAATTGTAACTGAGACTTCTTTGTGTTCCCCAAATCTGTCTCTTTTCCTTCCAAATAGAACTGGACTACATTTCCCAGCCTCCCCATGATTAGTGTGGTCATGTGACTGTCTTCTGGCCAACAGCATGTCAGTGGAAGGGATGTGGTCGCTGCCAAGCCTGGCTCATAAAAGCCTCTGCTATAGACTGAATGCTTGTGCCCTGAAAACTCATATGTTGAAACCCAATCCTGAAAAATAATGGGATTAGGAAATGAGGCTTTGGGGAGGTGATCAGGTAATGAGGGTGAAACCCTCATGAATGGGATTAGTGTCCTTATAAGAGAGACCTCCAAGAGCTCTCTCGTCCCTTCCACCATGCAAGCGCACAGCAAGAAGACAGCATCCATGAACAAGGAAGTGGACCCTCACCAAACACTGAATCTGCCAGTGCCTTGATCTTAGACTTTTCAGTCTCCAGAACTATGAGAAATAAATATCTGTTGTTTAAGCCCCACTCTATTGATATTACAGCTGCCCAAGCTAGCTGAGATGGCCTCTCTCCCCTGTTCTCTCCCTATTCCCCTCTGCCAGCAGCATACACAGGATCCAGCAGTGGACTCAGGAGGCCTGAGGAAAGGGTGAAGCCCCAAGACGAAAGGAGTTTGGATCCTGAATCACCTTGCTGAAGGCCGTCTGCTTGAAACAGGCACTGAGATAGCCTGAGAACAAGAACTAAAGCATCTACTGTGTTATGCCAATGAGGTTCTCAAGTTTCTTAATGAAGCAGTCAGCTTGCTCTGCCTAATATAAGAATAAAATGTTCATATTTAACTTCAATTACTTGATTTAAGTAGACTCTACATGACGTCATGATATGCTGAGGAAAAAACACAGTGCTCAAACAAGTGCACAATTATTATAATTGGGTAATAGTACATGTTTATGGACGGAGATTGAAAATATATATACACAATCAAAAAAATTAAAGCTATCTTGTGAAAGTGTAATTTCTTCCTCTAAAATATTTGTAATGTTAAAATGTTTTTATATTCAAAAGAGGCCAAATAAAAGATTTACACAAGTAATTATTTTTAAGTAAGAACTGACACAGAAAATAAAAGTATTCTCCAAAATATTTTAATTCAACTTAAATCATTTCTTCCTTTATTTTAGTTTGTTATGTTGTATATAGTAATCAATCTACAGGTGCTTGTTGGCAAAATGGATCAATGTCACAATCAGTAACATTTTCTTTAAGAACCATGACTATATTCCTAAAAAAATCCAAAAAGGCACAGAGCTTTCTACAGTGACAGAGCTCAGGATTCTGACAGCTAAACTTCCATTACAAGGAGGTCAGAAGAAGAAAGACTGCAGGATGGAACAGACACTGTGCTCCCCACCTGCCCTGTATCGTGTCCAGCACATGACTGCAGCCAGCGAAGCCCAGAGCGGGTGACCTAGTTTTGCAGCCCTGGGCACCTCCACAGGCACTAGCTGGCCCAGGGGAATCCTCAGCTGGGTACCTCCCCTTCCAGTCCCTCAGCACAGATCATCAGCTCCACTCCCTCCAGACTACAGGGTAAGGTCAGACTGCTTTCTCAGAAAACTGCCGCAGTGTTAGCCCTGGTTAGCAGAGGGTGCTGCGGGGACACTGCTTAGAAAGGGGCTTTTCTCAGGCTCCAGTGTTCTGGAATTGTTCCTTGGTTTTTGGGTTTTCTGCTTTGTTCCTATAGCCCAGCAGCCACTGGGGGCTTTCTGGGAGAGACCCAGTGGCGCACACCCTCCAGAAGTTGCACAGGCACCCCAGCAGGTGGTTCCCAGCCTCTAGCCCACAGATCCTCAGCAGACTGACTTCTCCACTGTCCAGAGACCAGGGCCACACTCCCTCCACCTAGGCCTGAATCTTAGCGTTGGGTGCAGGTTTGGGGGGTGGGGTGGGGCAGGCGGGGGTTGGGGGGCTCTTCCCAGTTTGTGCTTTCCTTGGGTCTCTGCTCCCTGGATAGACTAGGCTTGTATTCTTAGAGCAGGGGTTGGCAAATGTTTTCTGTGAAGAGCCAGAGAGCAAATATTTTGGCTGACTTACAGTTTCTGTCATAACTAGTAAACTCTGCTGTTGCAGAGCAAAAGGAGCCACAGTCAACAAAGGGGCACAGCAGTGTTACAATCAAACTCTATTTACAAAAACAGGCAACCCAGTGGTGTACGTCAACATCTCAATAAAACTGGCACGGCGGGGGAGGGGCAGTACAACAGCCAGATTTGGCCCACAGGCCACAGTTTGCTGATCCATGCTTTAGAGTTACCCTTACTCCCTAGTAGTTGATCCCCTTTTACCAATTTAATAATTCTCTACGTTAATTTTCCATGTTCAATCAACTGATGTGTTTTCTGCGTCTGGACTGATACAGACAATGTTTACAGCTTCTTAAGTGCATTTAATGACACTTCTCACCATTTGATTGAACTTGGATTTCTTAAATGTTTAGTAAATGAAAACAACTAACATCATAAATCAGTTTTGCTATTTAGCATACCAAATAACGCTTTTGTTAATTAGATGAATTACTGTTTTCTCCTGAAGGTATCTTGGCAGTATTTTATGTAACACTGTAGGTATTAGGATTACCTTGCTTTTGTGGGCCACTGTTAATTTTTGAGGTGTTTTCACACAGATGATCACACTTAATCCACTGTTAAATTAACTAGACAAGGAGGCCATCAGTCTGAGGTGGCAGTCTACGTAAGCAAACTGAAATGTAAGCCTGTAAATGCCTCAAGGTTAATGAAATCAAAACACTAAGGACAATCCAGCACAGCCAACTAGGCTTCACGCTAGTGCCAATCAATTATTCCTTTCTTTGCTTCTGCACTTTTCTTTATGTAAATCTCTCGCCAGCTCCTATCATCAGTGTTCCCAACCACTGGGAATTGGGTGTTGCCCAATTTGCATGGATTTTTGCTCAAATAAACTCTTGAAATGTTTAATATGCCTCAGTTTATCTTTTAATGCCACTAAAAGGTAGGCATGGAAACATCACTCCATTTGACTGAGGCTGGAAACTGAGGATCACAAATTGAGCTGATTGCCTGAGCGTCCCAAGTAGCCAGCAGACGGGACTAGAACCCAGTCTTCTATCAGTCAGAACCCTTCCTTCTCCAGGCTTCCTTGTTAAGGGTCTGTGCTCACCAATGCTCAACTATGGCACATCTGTGGAGAGTTTATAAGCCAGCGTTTCTGTTAAAGACTGATGACGCATGTTAACAAGGAAAGCCCACAGAAGAATGGCATAAGGGAAATCTCAGGGAAGAATGAGAAATACAGGAAATCTCAGAGAAGAATAACACGTCTTCTCTGGTCTTCGGGACTCCAGGACTGGGAAGATTTGAAACTTGTGCAAATCCTTAAGTTGCTCAACGAAGTGACTCCTGGAGACCTGACTGGGCAGAGGTCTTCGGCAGCTGCAGGGAGCACGGTCCCCGACAGGACCGCTGACTCCAAGGAAAAGGGGCCAACGGAGAGCAACTCACCTGCTACCTAAGTTAAGAACAAGGCAAAAAGCTCTTGCTTTAAACACGAATAACTGGCACAATGTGGATTCTACATGTGGATTTTAAGAGGAAGAAAGAAAGAAACTATCCGAGGAGAAAGGCTGAGAAGGGAGACTGACTGGTGAAGAAAGAAAAGAAAAGAGACAAGAAGGAGATGGGGGAGAGAAAGAGACAAAAGTGACCGACACCTAGGCGTGGCGGAGGTAGAAGATGCAGGGATGGAGAAAACATAAGGGCAAGATAAAGAAGACAGAAAGAAATGACAGAAGAGAGGGGCTTGGGAGGCTTGAGGCGGACCTATCTACCAAAATGTGGGTCAAGAGCACAATCGCCTATTTTTCACTTTCTTTAAACTGATGATTCACTGGTTACAGCTGTTCAGTGTTCTTCAGCTCCACTAA